AAAAAGGAACTATATGCATAAGCAAACTGTAATGTTAAACTGGTTAAACTGAACATGTTGTAAATGTGAATGTAATGTTCATACATATTTTTTCTCTTTGTTTGTAGATTTACAAAAAGATACTGAGAAGAACAATCACTAGTAAAGTCACTAAAGTTACCAAGACTGCTTTCTGGAGTTCTTTTCTGGAGTACACTATCTGTTAAGCCTTTGCTCAAGCAACGCAATTGGTTAGAACAGAATACCCTGTTCTATAGATTTGTTGTCTGTTGTTTGTGTGATTCCTGCTGGCACAGCTGTGAACCAGATAAACCCACCAGAAGACAGTTAGTTCACTTTATTATTCTAATGCTGCACACATAGTTGTCTTTCTAAAACAACTCCTTTTAGTTTTTATTTAGTTTTCTTCCTTTTTTTGAATTGCACCACTATGGAATCCTGTTTCCCCCATGAAATAAAATATTAAAAAGGTAAGTGTGACTTTTTATCTGGCAATTCTGACTCTTTTTCTCTCTTTTTTCAGATTTGCGAGATGTAAACTTAGAATTCAAAGAAGAAAAAAAATCAAAATTGTGAGACAAACTCAGAATTAAGAAATACAAACTTGCATCTCACAATTCAGTTTTTTTTCACCAAAGAATTAAAATAATAATAATTGCGACATTTCTTGAATTGCGACAATTCTGACTTTTCTTGCGAATTGCGAGTTTTTATCTCGTAATACTGAAAAAAGTCTGAATTGTGAAAGAAAAACTCAGAATTGACAAATGCGACCTTTTTATTTTTAATTTTTTTACTGCGGTTGAAACAAGCTTCCACACACCACAGAGAAACAGCATCTGAAAATAAAAACAAGTTGTTCTACATGAGGCTCAGCCACTGTTTTGTGTATGAAATATATTGTTTGATGTAATGCAACAAAGAACGTTGATTCTGACATGCACAATAATAAAAAAAGTATCACATGTCTTCAGAAGTTGAAGGTGTCGGTGAATCTGATGGTTTTGGGGACGTAGGTGAGTCTCACTGAAGGGTCACAGTAATTCATGCTCCTGTACTTTGGTGTTTCTCCTGTTGAAAGATGACATGCGTTCTCGTCCTTTGTTTGATGGTCCTTCATTTCCACAACCTTCAGCTCAGGTGAAATCTGACCATCAGAAGCACTAACGCTGAGATCACTTGTACCGGCTGAGGAGAAACGCTGTTCTTGTGGCAGATCTTCTGAGTTCTTCAGTACTCCAGGTTTCTGTAGGATCTGTGTGTTCATCTCTAATGTCTGTATGAGAGGTTTTGTTGAGTTCATGTCCAAACAAACCACAGGAGATGAACCGACCAGATGCATCTTGACTCCATTGAGACGCTGATGTCCTGATCTTTCCTCAGCTTGACACTCTCTCAGAGTCGCATCAGCAACACATGCATCCTTCATTTCTAGACTGAAGGTCTCACTCAGGTCCTGGAGTCTGAGCTCTTTCTGTCCTGCTGAGCCTTTGTCATGCGCTCCTGTAGTTTGACGGCCATGTTCTTGTGAATCGGTTGATTTGTTCTCATGTTGATTTAGTACTTCTTGTGAATTAGTTGATTCGTTCTTGTGTTGCTTTAGTATTTCTTGTGAGTCCGTTGATTTGTTCTTGTGTTGATTTAGTACTTTTTGTGAATCGGATATTTTGTACTTGTGTTGCTTTAATATCTCTTGTGAATCAGTTGATTTGTTCTCATGTTGCTTTCGTGATTCCTGTGAATCATTTGATTCATTCTTGTGTTGCTTTAGTCCCTCTTGTGAATTGGTTGATTTGTTCTTGTGTTGCTTTTGTGCTGCTTGTGAATCAGTTGATTCATTCTTGTGTTGCTTCAGTACTTGTGAATCAATTGATTTGTTCTCATATTGCTTTAGTGCTGCTTTTGAATTGGTTGATTTGTTCTCGTGTTGCTTTATTGCTTCTTGTGAATCGGTTGATTTGTTCTTGTGTTGCTTTAGTGATTCTTTTGAATTATTTGATTTGTTCTTGCACAGCTTTAGTGCTTCTTTTGAATCGGTTGATTCATTCTTATGTTTCTGTAATGATTCTTGCGCATCGTTTGATTTGTTCTTGTGTTGCTTTTGTGCTTCTTGTGAATCAGTTGATTCGTTCATGTGTTGCTTTAGTGCTTCTTGTGGATCAGTTGATTTGTTCATGTGTTGCTTTAGTGCTTCTTGTGGATCAGTTGATTCGTTCATGTGTTGCTTTAGTGCTTCTTGTGGATCAGTTGATTCGTTCATGTGTTGCTTTAGTGCTTCTTGTGAATCAGTTGATTTATTCTCGTGTTGCTCTAGTGGTTCTTGTACATCATTTGATTTGTTCTGTTGCTTTAATCTTTCTTGTGAATCAGTTGATTTATTCTCGTGTTGCTCTAGTGGTTCTTGTGAATTGGTTGATTCATTCTTGTGTTTCTGTAGTGATTCTTGTTCATTGTTTGATTTGTTCTTGTGTTGCTTTAGTGCTTCTTGTGAATCAGTTGATTCGTTCATGTGTTGCTTTAGTCTTTCTTGTGAATAAGTTGATTCATTCTTGTGTTGCTTTAGTGCTTCTTGTGAATCAGTTGATTTGCTCATGTGTTGCTTTAGTCTTTCTTGTGAATAAGTTGATTCATTCTTGTGTTGCTTTAGTGTTTCTTGTGAATCAGTTGATTCGTTCATGTGTTGCTTTAGTCTTTCTTGTGAATAAGTTGATTCATTCTTGTGTTGCTTTAGTGCTTCTTGTGAATCAGTTGATTTGCTCATGTGTTGCTTTAGTCTTTCTTGTGAATAAGTTGATTCATTCTTGTGTTGCTTTAGTGTTTCTTGTGAATCAGTTGATTCGTTCATGTGTTGCTTTAGTCTTTCTTGTGAATAAGTTGATTCATTCTTGTGTTGCTTTAGTGCTTCTTGTGAATCAGTTGATTTGCTCATGTGTTGCTTTAGTCTTTCTTGTGAATAAGTTGATTCATTCTTGTGTTGCTTTAGTGTTTCTTGTGAATCGGTTGATTCATTCTTGTGTTGCTTAAGTACTAGTGAATCAATTGATTTGTTCTCGTATTGCTTTAGTGCTTCTTTTGAATTGGTCGATTCGTTCTTGTGTTGCTTTAATATTTCTTGTGAATTGGTTGATTTGTTCTCATGTTGCTTTAGTGTTTCTTGTGAATCAGTTGATTCATTCTTGTGTCTCTTGATCTTGTGTGTAGAATCGTTTCTGCTCTGCTCCGTCACTAGAGTCTCAAATCTCTTGATTAAACTGCTGAACATGGTTCCGCCTGTTCGTCTGTTTGTTTGTGGTTTCTTTATGTTGTTGTTCTCTGCTGCTGTAAAGCTCTCCAGCATGTTCTGAACCCTGGAGGTTTTTCTCTTCATCCCAGGTCTTGAATCAGCTCTCAGCCCGTTTGTGTCTTTAATATGTCGTTCTTTCGTGTTCAGAGAGCCCACCTCTCTTCTGCGGGTGAGCGCTGGCTTTGGCACGCTCCTCAGAAACTTAGATCTGAGCAGCTGGAAGGCAGTGAGACGTGGACCGGCTCTTCCTAAGGCTGCTGACGGAGAGTTTGGTAGGTCTTGGCTTTGGTAAAGCAGCAGATTCTCTAGAATGGCCCTGACCTCCGGATGTGTTGCACGATCCAGGATCAGCTGTTTCATGGCTCGCCGTTCCAGGGTTGGGATGATGGAGAGCTGCTGCTTATCTCTCTGAGCTCTGTGGAATAAAAGTGTTTTCTGTGCACTCAGAAAGGAGTGACACAACCTATATGTGACTTCTTATGTACAGAATCACATAGAATCAGCTAAAGGGCAGAGTTTATGACTAGTTACGCATTGAGATCAGGTAGTGGACGTTATCCAGAATGATTAACACAGCTAGTTAAAAGTCTTTAAGATTCTAGGAAAAGTGTTTCACATGCATTAGAGTCAGTGAAGAGATCATAAAAATGACTTCAAATGAATCTTTAATCTGTGAATGAACGCTCAAGTTGAACTCTGTGAGTGTTAGTCACCGAACATCACTTTGACCACACCCCCTTTCTCCTAAGCCCCACCCTCCACAGATATAACAGTGTCAGAAAACATGATTGACGGGCACAGAGCATGTCTGATTGGCTAAAGAGACTCTCAGTGCTGTTTTCATAATATATAGTGACGTTTCATGTTTGTTATTACAAAAACACCACAGCAGCATTAAGAGAAAAAGTCTCTTAGTTTTGTTTAAACATAAACAGGTTGATTAACTTTTTTTTTTTTTTTTTTTTACTGATATTATGATAAATATTTCATATGCTAAACATGCTGATAAACTGATAAAATAATTTTTATTTGATTTAATGATGTTTAAGCAGCCAGCTGATAATAGTGAAGGATGGTAATACTCAAAGAGCTTTTTATTTACCAGGTTAACATGAGTTACAGCACAGTTAAGAGTTTGGTGCCACCTTGTGTCAGTCACATGTAAGATTATTCATATTCACAAGATATCTGATAACAGTTCACAATAGTTCCATTTGTTAACATTAGTTTACTACATTAGTTAACATGAACTAACAATAGAAAATACTTCTAAAGCATTTATTAATCCTAGTTAATTTTTATTTCAATATATACGGTGTAGAAAATTATTTTTCAAAGTTGTAAATAAAACAAAGGCTGGAGTTATTGAAGTACATTTTATATTTATATATTTTAGTCTTTCTACTTCGACTCAATGTGTTACTTGCCATTTCTTTGCAATTATTTCTGAAATTTACTAAATGAAAATTATTTTTAAAAATAAATCCTACATCAATTTTTTTTTCAGTGTACTAATACATTATTAAAATCAAAAGTTGTATCTGTTAATGTTATTTAATGGGCCTGAGCTAACATGCACTAACAATGAACAGTTTTATTTATTTTTATTAACTAATTTTAACAAAAATGTATAATTTCTGTGACAAATATATTGCTCACAGTTAATTCATTAAATAACATTTACTAATGGAACCTTGTTGTAAAGTGTAACCGGATATATTGATGTCCCATTTCTTTTAAAATGTTCATGTATAATCTCTTTCAGAAATAGCAGTTTTATTATTTTTGTATTTTTTCCAAATGCTACAGGTTTAAGATAACTAAACTGCCTGAGTCCATATAAATGTGGGATTAACTCCAAGTATGTTAATAAAGGCGGTGGCACAGACGTCAGCTTTACTTCTCTACTGCCGCTGCTCGGTATAATCGTCCTCCCAGATCTTCCAGTTTTTGTCTTTTGTCCAAATTCTGATAGAGTCCAGCAGGAACCTGGTCGATCCCGTAGAGCAGCCCATAAAGACAGCCGGCGATCAGACCTGTCGCACTGCTCTCGCCTGAACAAACATTCACAGTGGCACACAATCCGTCAAACGCTCACACACAGTGAATCCACATAAAAACTGAAGGCTTCTGATTAAATGACTGATGTTTTGTAGACAAACATAAACTGCGGATATGTGTAAATTACAAAACAAAACTCTTAATTAAAAAATTTAAAATGAATTATCTTTTTAATTATTTTTAAATTGTCTATTTAAAATTATATTACCATTTTAATTACAATTATTTTTAATTATTGATTTATTAATTTTTTTTTTACTATTTTTTTATTTTATTTTCCCATACCTCCATTTGTGTTATTTCAGTTTTCATGACTTCACTATTAAAATAATTAAAAATAAAATAGATTACATTTTTAAATGCTGTAATTTTTTTAAACTATATTGTTGTTGTTGTTGTTGTTTTATGGCTGAAGATGGATTGGATATTGAAGGGAAAGCCATCATGAAAAGTTAAAATGTTTTAGGTCACTACATTATTCGCATATTTCCAATAGTATTATTTAATCGTTTTCATGACTTGACTATAAAAGCATGTGTGTCCAAACATTTGGCTGGTTGTGTACATTCATGAATATGGAAAGAGAACATACAGAGATCACTGAAACAGATTCCGTCACAAGTACAAACTGAGCAGCTGGTGTTTCTGCTGTGATCCATGTGTTTATGAATGGTTCCTGACCTCCGTGAAACATGGCCCGTTTGCACAGCTCCTCCCAGCTGGATCCGGCTGCCAGCAGAGCGTCGTACGCAATCATAGGTGCATCGTGACCCCTGCGTCCGGGACAGCCCTCTGAACTCCAGTGCTTGTACATCTGAACACACATGCACGACTGAGACGTATTGATCAGATCACCATGAGCACAAGTACTCGTGATGAGCAACTTCTCCAGTAGAAGGTGTGAGCTCTCTTAGGTTTAGAAATGATGATGGAACTAGTCAATTATGACAAAGTTGAAGTTATGAGATAAATCAGAATTATAAGCTAAAGAGTTGAAATTATCAGATAAAAAGTCATAATTATAAGTCTAAATAGGAGATAAACAGTCATAACTATGAGATAGAAAGTTTAAATGATCAAATAAAAAGTCAATTATGAAATAAAAAGTCAAAATATGAGATAATGTCATAATTATGATGTAGAAAAGTTGGAATTTTGAGATACTAAGTCAAAATGATAAGATAAAGTCAAAATATGAGATAAAGTCCCAATTATGAAATTCATAATTGAAAAGTCATAATTATCACAAAGTCATAGCTAAAAGAGAATTATGAGGTAAAAAGTCAAAATTATGAAATATAAAATCAAAATTATGGGATTAAAACTGCATAATTATGATAAAAAGATACTAAGTTATGATTATAAGATAAAGTCAGAATATGAGATAAGTCAGAATTATGAGATAAAATGTCACAATTATGAAACAAAATCAAAATAATGAGAATAAAATGACAATTACGATATAAAAAAATTGGAGGTTTGAGATACTAAGTCATAAGATAAAGTCAAAATATGAGATGACATTTTTTTGTCATAATTATGACAAAAAAAATCAAAATTAAAATTGAAAATTTGAAATTGTGACTTTTGTCTGTCTGTTTAGTTATTTCTGGTGTGATAAGTTAATGTGATTAAACCAAAGGACTGCGGTGAGATAAATGTGTCTGTCTGTGTATGTTTTACCTTGTCTGTCTCTTCAGCGTCGTATCGGTCAGGGAGTATCGGTTTACTTTGACCGTCTTCTATTCCTCTCTCCTCCAAATAAAACTGCCATTTGGCCTCAAAGTAAAACCACTTCTCCTGATATTCTAGACCGCAGAAGGAAATGCGTCGTCAAGACTTTCTGTCATCTTGTTCTTACACTTATAAACATCTGATCTGCTCACCTGCCATATGCCGGATGGTTTTCCTGCAGTATTCCTCTGCTTTGGGAATGACCGTCATGAGGTCACGACCCCAGCTGACCAGCGGCCTACCCTGGATGGCATATGAGGCGAAGAGAGCCGTACACAGAGAGCCCAGGAACCCTGCACACAGAACGAGACGCATCAGTGAAGGACTGATTGAGAACGGATGGATGTTCATGTGATGAAGCAGGAGCAGATGAGGCACCTATGGGGTGATTGTGGGTCATTCGGCCCGTCTCTATGCTCACTTCAACCAGATTGTCCAGCCGCTCTGGCTGCCAGTAGCGCATACCCACACACATGGCTTTAGTCGCAGCTCCGTGACCAGAACCTGCATGTACAACATCACGCAGATCATTTACTAAGTGTTTCTGTCATAAACTGATCACAGATCAGAACTGGAATACCTCTCATTCCTGCAGTTCTACACAATTCCGCCCCTTGCATGTGTGTTGATTCAATGTTTTTGTCTAATGTGATCATCAGTTTAACACATTTGACCCCGTTTCAATCCAGCAGGTTAAGCTCCATTCAGAACTGAATCGAGAATGTCTTTGAATTGCAATTCGATTCCTGAATTTGAATTGAGGGAGCAAACAGATGCAGAATTGCAATTTGAATGTAACAACGTAGAATTAAAATCAAAAATGTTGTGGCCAGTGCAATTCACATTCACACCTACTGAATGAATTACCCCCATTCGGTTCCTCAGTGTGATTCACAGTGAGCATGTGTGTGTGTCCCATCTGTACCTTTCTCATTGAATGGCGTGTGCCAGGCTAACAGGAAGTTGTGTGGCTTGAGGTTTACGCATCCCTCCACAGTACTGGGCTCTGGAACTCGACCCTGCAGACACACCATGGCCTCCACATAGAGCCGCACCAGCTCCCGGTACAGATCCTCCAGACACCAGTAATCTAACGAGACATGATCAGATCTTCAGGCTGTTTGAGCATGTGTGGCATCCACGGGAGCAGTCATGTGTCAGGACTAATTTAGCCGTGATTAACCGCAGCTGATTAGAGTGTTTATCTGAGGTGGATGGAAGGCATTCTGAGGGCATTAGTGCTCCTCTGGGGCTTCGACAGCAAACAGATGAAGGCCACATGAACGCTTGTGTGTCCATGAACCAGAGGCGGCAGGAGCTGTTAGTAAGTCTTGTTAAATCCTGCAGACTCAACATAATCAATATGAGACAAAGCTACAGTCTCCAGTTTGGTTTATTTGCAGTGGTTGTTTTTGTCTCTGCAGTCAAATGGTGTTGCAATGTGCATAAGTATATGGAGCCATAAGTACATGGCATGCAGGGGAAAAAAAGTAAATTGTGCATACGATTTAATAATTTGTTCCCTTGTTTTAAGTAAATTGTGCGATCGATGTAATAATTTGTTCCCTGGTTTTTTAAGTAAATTGCCCACATTCTCATAAACCGATGCAGATGCCTCTCATTTAAAATGATTCCATGCAATGCTGCAAGGCTTTTGAGAATGTCTCTATAACTCATTCCCAACTCAAAATAAAACCCAATTAAAGTGTCTCTGTCCACAACACAGCACAACACACAACTTAAAGAGAATTATGAAAATACATTTATGAGAATGCGGACAGGAATTAGAAAGAATATTTTACGAGGGACGAGGGAATAAATTATTATATCACTTTACGTAAAACAAGGGAATGAATTAGTAAATCGTGCGCAAGTAAAAAGAAAATTATGACATTGTGACAAATTGATTGTAATGTCATAATTGTCTTTTGAACAAAGTTATAAGATGAAAAGTCATAAGATAAAAATAAAAGTATTACCGGTAGATAAAAAGATAAAAAATCATTACTCATTGATTTTTGTCATAATTATGTACCAAAATTCTAAACAACAACAACAACAAAATATTATTAGATAAAAAAGTAATAATTGACATAAAAATTAAATTATGAGATAATACATCAAAATATGTTATGGCAAAGTCTAAATTATGACCTAAAAATTATGACAAAGTTTTATGTCATTAGGACTTGACGTAACAAAATAATAACAACATGTTATATGGCTCAGTCAGCTAATAAAAGTTGTATTTGTCTTGCATGTCAAATCTTGTGGAATGTGGATACGAAGCGCTTTTGAAAAAGTACAGTTATTACATAAAAAGTCATAATTGACTAAATCAAAGTCAAAATTATAAGATAAGATATACAAGATGATAAATGGATAATTATGACAAAGTCGAAATGATGTAAAAAGTTGAAATTATTTAAGAGTGTGGATAGGATGTGGCACTGTGATCCACTGACTGTCACGACCCTCATGAGCTTTGAACTCAATCCTCCAAAGCATAAAGTGGCTCGTTCGGGCAGCAGGAGCCGCTGTTGTCTGCGGTGAGGACCACGGTCACTTAGGGTCTATTTCGGGTCTACTGAACCGGGAATTAAGCGGTCTGGTGGTCCTGCTGGATTACAGCTCTCAGGGAACTCACTAAAGCTCATGTTATTTACGACGCTCCCAGAGATTAGCGTGTGTCACGGCGCATTAGCATGCAAACGGATCGCCGTGACCCGCAGCTCTATTCTGGGTTCGTTATCAGGCTGTGTGAGGAAAGATTGCTGTATTATCATCAATTCACATTGCAGAGGGAGTTAGTGAGGGACGCCGTGGTCAGCAGAGGGATTTCACATGGATTCATCCCTATTCTGAGAGCAAACACAAGCGGAAAGAGCTTACACATGGATTTAAGTGTTACATTTATAGATATGGAACAAATACACTCACATAGTGTTCTTAAATGACAATGGAAAGTTTCCCAGAATTAAGGCAAAAAAAAAAATAGTAATGGTCGATTTTATTCCATGCAGTCAAAAATTTGGCGGTAAGAGTTTTTGAAAGTATCTTCTGCTCACCAAGGCTGCAATTATTTGATTAAAAATACAGTAAACAAAAATGATAATATTATTGCAAATTAAAATAACTGTTTTATAAGTGAATATATTTTCAAATGTAATTTATTCCTGTGATCTAAGCTGAATTTTCAGCATCATTACTGCAGTCTTGAGTGTCACATGATCCTTTTGAAATAATTCTTATATGCCGATTTGCTGCTCAAGAAACGTTTCTGATAATTATCAGTGTTGAATACAGTTGTGCTGCTTCATATTTTTGTGGAAACCATTATACATTTCATTTTTCAGGATTCTTTGATGAATAGAAAGCTCAAAAGAATAGCATTTATTTGAAATATTGAGATAAAAAGTCAATCATGACAAAAAATTAAAATTATGAGATATTAAGCCATAATTATAGAAAGGGAAAATTATTAAATTAATAAGGTCATAGTTTTGACTTTTTATTTTAGAATTAAGACTTTTTATCTCATATGTAATATTTTATACTTTCAACTTTTTTATCTCAATTTTGACTTGTATGGATTAAAGAGATTAAAAAATTGAAATTATTAAATACTATGTCACAATTATGAGATGAAAGGTCATAATTACGACAAAAAGTCATAATCATGAGATTCTTTGATGAATGAAGAGACGAAAACAGCATTCATTTGAAATGTAAATCTTTTGTGACATTGTAAGTCTTTACTGACACTTTTGATTAGTTTAATGCATCCTTGATAAGTAAAAGGATTAATTTCTTAAAAAAAAAAAAACCTTTTTGAACCATAGTGTATATTGTTTTGTTTCAGTCTCTCTCACCAGTGATCAGGGCCTCTGCAGTGGTCATGTGCATCAGGACTCCGTCACTGAGCGGCCAGTTATCCGCGTCTAGCTTCAAGGCTCCAAGACCCCCGAGAGTGGCTAGTTCCTGCTGAATCTGTTTCCCTGAGATACACATTTCCCACCGGCCCTTGCGGTATCCCAGGGCATCTCCCACTCCTCCGAGAACCATTGCAGCCTGGAACTTTTCCATGAAGGTGCCAGAGATCCTACAGCATCAAATTGGGCTCCTGAACGGCTGGAGGTGACTTTATTCAGCGCAGACACAACAGCTGCATGTGTGCGGCTCTGGAAGCCCAGCCCTCTGTTTACTCCTGCATGGCTTCATCATCTGAACTCGCTCCAGGCGTTATCAGCAGCTCTTTGTGTGGCAGTGCTGAGCTGCGATCAGGTGTCTCCTAAAAAGGCAACTGCTGTGGCACCAGGGTAAGAGGGTCTGTCATCTGCTCCAGGACCCTCAGAGCGGCACATTACTGTCCCACACACACCAAACACACGAGATCTACTGATGAATTATGCAGTTTATACTCCAGCTGGAGTCTATTCTTCCTGCTCTTATTGTACGGTGACCATACATCCTATTTTTCCTGGCCAGGGTTTCTAAATTGCTTAAGATGTCCAGGTTTTGGCTTTGTTTTTCTATTGACCGTCACTCTTCAGTACTCATACACTGTATGTACACATATTTGCATTGCTTTGACCATTCTCTGTAGATCCGCCTTCTCGCACACCACGATTGGTTGATTATGTTCAGTGCCTGCACATTGTTGGTCTACTATTTTTCAGTCATTACCATCAGCAAGTATGAAAACAATAGGAAAACAGCCAAAACCCAGACGTTTTAGGAATTTAGGAACTCCCAGTCAGGACATGTCTGGGAAAAAGAGAACGTACGGTCACCCTACTTTTTTGTGATTATTTATTAGTGTTTGTTATTCTAATCAGAATGACTTGCTCCGCCTTTTCAGCTGAACTCCTCCTCCAATCACATGACTCCATTCCAGTAACGCAACACCTACTTTTTTTACAACCGTCAGTTCCTACGTTTCCTCATTCCGTGTCACTCAAAAACATGTTACAGAAATTAGATGGGTTGCAAATGTTGTTTTATGTTGATAATAATGTGAATTTGGTGACACACCAGATTATCAATTCATACTTGTGCCACAGCATTAATATAGAGAACGAGTTTTGTTAAATAACTTTTATTTACATACATACATAACATTGATATGATGAGGTGAACTGAACTGACACAGTGATATGACGAATATCACAAAGTGAAGAAAATAAAAACAGTGTTAGAAACTCATCCAGACTAACAGCAGACACAGAGGGTGATCTGATTTAAATACTCCTCCGATAACACAGACGCCTGTAAACAATGTGAACAATCAGGATCTCATCAGCATTCGCCAGTGTTTCAATGATGGCTCTTATCCTCATCATTTCATTCATGAGAAATCAGCCTCAGTGATCATATTCATTCAGAAACTCATGAGAATGACGTTCATTAGAGTTCTGATTGAATGATCAGTGACACACCGCATATGCATTAGTCCAAATACTTATTTTATTGTCTGTTCAGATATTTCTACCTATACTCTGACTGTTGTGATAGTGCTGCTGGTGATGTGAGTGGAGCTTAAAGGACTAGTTCAGCCAAAACTGAAAATTCGCTCACCGTCAGGCCATCCAAGAAGTAGATGAGTTTGTTAATTCATGGGAACAGATTTGGAGAAATTTAGCATTTAATCTATTGCTCACCGATGGATCCTCTGCAGTGCCATAAGAATGAGATTTCAAACAGCTTATAAAAACAATACAATAATCCACAAGTAATCCACACAACTCCACTCCATCAATTAAGTGTTTGAAAGAAACAAATTCATCAAAGCATTTTTAACTTCAAACCGTTGATTAATTGATGTGGTGTGGATTATTGTGATGTTTTTATCAGCTGTTTGGACTCTCATTCCGACGGCACCCATTCACTGCAGAGGATCCATTGGTGAGCAAGTGATGTAATGCTACATTTCTCTGCTTTCATGAAGAAACAAACTCATCTACATCTTGGATGGCCTGAGGGTGAGCACATTTTCAGAAAATTTTCATTTTTGGGTGAACTATTGCTGAAATGGTGAAATCTCAAAACAAAACCATGACACACGTTTGATTGTCAATGTCACATGACTAAATTAAGCTTATTTGCTCTTTCTCATGGTAAAGTTCTGCACAGTTAATACTGTATAAATGACAAAATAACTGGACATGCATCTATATGTTGAGCTTGTGACATGCAGTTGACTCACTGAGACTCGTGGGAAACACACTGGTATAAGTGTGCTATGAGGCTAGACAGATTCAGAAGTTCAGTGATGACAGCGCACACGTGATCATGGTGATGTAGTTCAGCCTGGGAGGCCGCTGATCTTCAGCCTCTTGACAGCAGCAGACTCATAATGTATAAACTCTCTCCGTTCAATAATATATATTTTTAAATGCATTTGTTGTTTTTTTATAAAAAAATTCAGTATAGAGAGGCCTCCCTGTAAGCACTCATTATAGAGTCTTGTGATTTTCTGCAGTCACGATCGGCCGAGCGAATTCCACAAAGTCATCAATGAGCACCGGCCACGCACCTGATGACAAAATAATTAAACACTGGCATAAAATCTCAATTATTGCTTATTATACACTTATTATACATGTTATTGTGAACAATTCATTGGTGGATATTATTCTATAAATAGGGGTGCTCCGATCAGGGTTTTTGAGGCCGATCACAGAAAGCAGTATCTGCCGATACCGATCACGATCTTTTTAAAGCCTTCTTTTTAGTATTTATAACTATTTATAGTGATACTCCAATCGGGATTTTTAGACATTTATTCAGGGCCTGAATTTCATTTTTGAAAATGGGGGGAATTCCCCTCTTAGGTGACTCTTGTGAGCGTTATCACAAACTTACCATTGACAGAAATAGTCAGCTCTACTGCCTTTCCTTTTGCATTGAAATCTTTATTACAAGCAATCCTGCGGTTCATAAACCAAGGAGGAACAGGAGGTTGCAGGTTACTGTTGGAAGAGGTGTTAGTGAGGCCAGCAGGGGGTGCTCACCCTGTGGTCTGCGGTGTCAATCCATGTTCATATTTACTGCAAACAATGCGCTGTTACTTTAATTCAGCGGTCGCAGCGCAGCAATAGACTCCATTTGGAAACAATCTCTGCTCTGCTGCAGATGCACCGCTCCTGGAATGCACTGCCGGAGCCCAACTGTGTACAGTGTGAACGCTCTGATCCGTTAACATGAGCGCGGAAAAAATACGCACCACGTATGCACTGCAAACGGAGTAATGTGAACCTGGCGTTATGTGCGTGCGCTGCGAGTGTGCATGAGCGCACGGTCTCCAGGAGAGTGCGTGAGTGCTGAATGGTTAAACACTGGCAAGAATTAAAAAGTAATGCAATTTATAAACTTTAGTGACGATGTGACACTGCCTCGATAGTGCAAGTGACAATTCCTGTGTCTACTGTGCAGTGTGCAGAAAATCCTTGGCAACAAAGTTATGGCTAAAAAACCCACTACAGTTACCGAACTATGGAAGAAGAGTGGACCAAGATCACAGCAGCGCAGTGTGAGAAACTAGTGATGTCCTGCGGTCGCAGATGTGCTGAAGTCATTCAAAGCAGGGGCCTAATTTCTGACAGCCGTAACCCTCCAAAATTGTAGCTGTAATCTTCTTTTGTGCTACAGTTTGATACTATTTAAACTGAACTGAGCTGGATGATGACATCACTTAATTCAATGATGAACTGCCTTTAACTGAAAATTGAGTGTTTACTATTATCCTTTTGCATTGACACACTATTTTGCTATTTTGATACTGTAAAGCTGCTTTGACACAATCTGTATTGTTAAAAGCGCATATAAATAAAGGTGACTTGACTACAGTGGTTACTGTTCTCTAATTTTGATCACTGTGTTTTCCACAAAATGAAGTTTTTTTTAAAATGCCTTTGTTATTTTGTCAAACATGTTAGTATAACAGTGGTATACCCACAGCCAATATTACTTCAAATTTTGAGCGATGAAGATTAACAATATTTTAGAAAAAATCAAGTATTTATAGACTGTTCTCTAATTTTGATCTCCACTGTATAATCTTCATCCAGTCACATGCCTGTTATAAAATCAAGCCCATCCTGCATTTTTCCTCACCGAATATCCAGTTCAAGTATGTCCTTTATAAAAGTAAGTTCATGAATCAGACTCACCCTCCTCGTCATAGTTGGACATGTCATCTGCAATCATGTTTCCAAAGTCTAGCAGCAGGTTCCAAGTGTCTTTAGGGATGGATTTTTTATGATGCTCCTTTGCAGAAACAAGATGGATGAGAAGCAAAACCATCATCAGTTCTTCAGGATTCTCATCATGCATCAAGTGTCAGATCAAACTCCACACATGTATATGAACACGTGTTTCAGAGAGCAGAATCACACGTTGCATTTTCAGCATTGCTACAGCTTCATCAGCCTCAAATATATACAGTATCAACAAAAATAGGACTGGTTTAGTTAAGTATGTAGATCAGATCAGTAATGTGGTGAAAGCGTTCCTGCTGCACAGAGGAAACTTGTGTGAGTGAGCGTTACAGTGACATGAAAGAGCTTGTGGTTTGCTATTATATTTATTCAATAAGTACCAGTAGGAAAGTGTTCCAGAGGTCAAGAAACTTAAAGCGTCCGGTGAGAATGAGATTCCAATAGGCCACGGCCATCTCCAGATCTGAGGCAGAGCGAGACACTGTGAGACACTGGGTGAAGAATCAAGGTCACTGCAAACCTGTGGAAGCTTGTTTCCACCACAGGATAAAAAATTTTTTTTAAAAGTAACTGCGACTTTTTTTTATCTTCACTTATTTCTAGCTATTCTGAGATATCAAGTCAAAATTGCAAGATATAAACTCATAATTCTGAGAAGAAACTTTGGAATTGTGAGAAAGAAATATTGTTAGTAGTATTTAAAATGTTTTATTCTGTGGTGTAAACAAAAAAACAAAAAAAAAGGGGGGAAAAAAAAAAAACCTGGGAGGATGTAAACTCATAATTGCAAGAAAAAAGTCTGAATTGTGAGATAAAAAGTCACAATTACCTTTATTTTTTTCCGATGGTAGAAACAAGCTTCCATTGAAACCAACTAAATACATTGGTGTTTCTATGCAAACACTGACCCGCACTACAGCACGATCCCTGTGTAGGGAACAGCAGAGCCGATGTTTACTAGACTAATCACTCACCTAAACCCTTCTGACCAGGATTCTTGGCAAAGCTAAACGTGAACTGATAGAAATCTTTGAACTTCCCAGAATCCTTCAGCTCCTGCTCTAGTCTGGGTAAAAGACTCTTCAGCTTCTCTGGACTATCACACCTAGACAAACAAACACAT